AAAGTCCCTGTTTGGATGTACAGTAAAACCAAACTAGTTTATTTTCGGTTTAATTTGAATTATGGATTTTATTTTATACAAAATAAAATTAAATTCAAATGTTTTTGACCAAAAAAGATTAGTATTGGGCCAAACAAGCCCAACCTAACCTCACACCACGCACCCAAGCCCAGGCCCAGCCCAGCTCGCCTGACCGAACAGACAACGGCGGCGGCGCGCGCGTGTGGTGATTTTTGGGTCCAATGGGTCTAGCCCATTTTGCCCATAACTTCTCCCTCTAAAACACTTGGGTACCCCTTGGGGCACACCCTAAGTACCAAACCCAAGCCTTTTAAACCCATTCAAAATTTCCCACTAAATCAATGTGGGACAAGCCATTTTACAACCTTAAGGAATTTCCACCAAAACTCCATTTCTGTGGAGCACACTTTGGCTTCAATTTCCCATTTACTTGGTAATGGTTTTGAGCAACCAAATATACCACGTGAATCATAACGTGGCATAGAACGCGTTACCACTTTGACCCGTGAAAATCGACGCACGGGGCCCATCTAAAAAATATACCAAACTTAGTAAAAAATTCTGGTTTTACCCAGAATTTTATAACCATTTCCAACACTTTTTAAGGTGCATTTTAGAGGCTCTCTTGAAAAGTCTAATTTTTTCATAATTTTTTATTTTATTTTAAAGCTTTTAGAACATATTTACCTGCATCTTTCTAAGTCTCAAGTTTAACTGTCATTAAGTGTTATTAATTTTTTGGAGCCATGCCCATAGACTTTGCTCGAGATGTGTTCGATCTATGTGGAGAGGATGCTTTACCTGGGTCAGGATTAGTTGAAATATGCATAAACTAACTTAGACATCCAATCGTTCAAAAAAAAAAAGTTATTGTTAGAAAAATGGAGAGAAAGTGCTCACACTTTGAATTGCCACAATTAGAAAATGAGTGTGAAAGGGAAATTCAAATGAAAATTAGAGAACCAAACTACTATTTTATCAGATGCAAATTAATCACATTTTCTTTTCCTATATTTTTCCCCCTCCCATCCAAAACAATACCAAACTAATATTTTACATAACAAAAGCAAGCCACTGGTCAAATAAAGGCAATAGACGCCACACACACACACACACATATCTATATATATAATATATACACACAAATCGAATCTACCCCAGATGGCTGCGTCAATGTGTAATGTTTGCAACGGAGACGTACTACTTTTACCTTGTTTATGTATATAACACACAGTTTTTACTTACAATGACTTTGATAAAATGCTTAGATTCATGAATCAGAGTTTCTCTGTATATGTCCTACCTCTGATATTCTTGCTTAGTACATATATATTGCAGTCCCATCAAAATCTCCTCTATTCAATTCTACTTCGACATCATCACTCAGGTATGTCATTTAACATCAGACCTTAGAAGATTTAGACTATAATTGGGTCCCCATTGAAAAACAGGGAAGAAAAATTAAAGATCCAGAAGCAATTTAAATTTGAACATTCACGTCACCAAGGAAGATAAAATAAAAAAAACAAAAACAAAAACAAAAACAAAAACAAAAACCTAGATTATAGTAATCTAAATTCAAGACTACAAAAACCCAATTGGAATTTCGAAAAATAACACACACACATACACAAAATATCAAAGAATGATTATTGATTTTCTTTACTGTTTCCAATCAAAAGAAAAACCAATATTTTCACTAGAAAATAAATTATTTTTTAAAGAACTAATGAAATTTACAATAATACAAGAATTGAGAGAAACGAACGTACAGATCTTTGCTTTAGCTGAATTAGGAGAAGAACCCTAAAAAATTGAAACACCTAGAAGCAAGTTAAATTGAAAGCAAACTCAAAATGGCAAGAGAAGAAAACGAACCCGGAGAGCTCCAATCGGGGTTCGAAAACAAACCAAGCATATTGAACACTGTTGCCGCAATGTGCATTGGTGTGAGACCAGCTTGGGAGAGTTGGTCAGTTGGTGATCCGTGGTCGATGTACCGATCAAGGAGAACCACGGGTCTCCACTGCACAGGATTTTCAAGGACACAGAGTAAGTGATCTAGTGCTGAGTTCAAAGTTTTCTTCTTTTTAGTGTATGGATAGAAAAAGTAGAAATAAAAAACTAACAAATAGATCTACTACTCACACACACCCCATATATAGAATCAGTTTAAGATAGTTTGGTTCTGTTTTCATTTTCTTTTTTCCATATTTTTGAAAACAAAACAATGAGAAGTTCAACCACCATTTGCATATCATTTCATTTTTCTACAAAACATGTTTACAAAAATTTGAAAACAACTTCTTGGTATTTTGTAAAAAATGAGTTGTTTTCAGAAAATTTTCCTGAGAATTGTTTTATGAAGAGGAGAATCAGAGAATCCAACAACCCACTTGAAACATAATTACAAAATTAAAGAAGGGAAAAAAAACAAAAACGAAAAGAAATAAAATCTCAGCCTAAATAATTCAATTTTCATCTCAAAACACATGCAAACAAACATGGGTTTTAACTTAAAATCCCTAATAATTTTTTAAATCTATGAAAGGGTGTTGAAACATTAACACAGATCCATTTAAGAATGAAGAGAAATAGAACTCACCTGACTGAACTCTCTGGAGAGAGAGAGAGACGGAAAACCCCCAAAAAGAGATAACCCACAAATCAAAGAATCCAACAACCCACTTGAAACATAATTACAAAATTAAAGAAGGGAAAAGAAATAAAATCTCAGCCTAAATAATTCAATTTCCATCTCAAAACACATGCAAGCAAACATGGGTTTTAACTGAAAATCCCTAATAATTTTTTAAATCTATGAAAGGGTGTTGAAACATTAACATAGATCCATTTAACAATGAAGAGAAATAGAACCCACCTGACTGAACTCTCTGGAGAGAGAGAGAGAGAGAGATGGAAAACCCCCAAAAAAAGATTACCCACAAATCAAAGAATCCAACAACCCACTTGAAACATAATTACAAAATTAAAGAAGGGAAAAGAAATAAAATCTCAGCCTAAATAATTCAATTTCCATCTCAAAACACATGCAAACAAACATGGGTTTTAACTTAAAATCCCTAATAATTTTTTAAATCTATGAAAGGGTGTTGAAACATTAACATAGATCCATTTAACAATGAAGAGAAATAGAACCCACCTGACTGAACTCTCTGGAGAGAGAGAGAGAGATGGAAAACCCCCAAAAAAAGATAACCCACAAATCAAAGAATCCAACAACCCACTTGAAACATAATTACAAAATTAAAGAAGGAAAAAAAAAATAAAAAACGAAAAGAAATAAAATCTCAGCCTAAATAATTCAATTTCCATCTCAAAACACATGCAAACAAACATGGGTTTTAACTTAAAATCCCTAATAATTTTTTAAATCTATGAAAGAGTGTTGAAACATTAACATAGATCCATTTAACAATGAAGAGAAATAGAACCCACCTGACTGAACTCTCTGGAGAGAGAGAGAGAGAGAGATGGAAAACCCCCAAAAAGAGATAACCCACAAATCAAAGAATCCAACAACCCACTTGAAACATAATTACAAAATTAAAGAAGGGAAAAAAAAAACAAAAAACGAAAAGAAATAAAATCTCAGCCTAAAAAATTCAATTTCCATCTCAAAACACATGTAAACAAACATGAAGAGAAATAGAACCCACCTGACTGAACTCTCCAATACCCAGATATAAAAAAATGATGTAGATTTAATATATATATACCCACACCAAGAATGCATGGAAATAAATAGACAGAGAGAGGACATGGAAGAAGGAAGAAGATGAGAGAGAGAGAGAACTTACCTTGCGATAAAAAGGAGCGTCGGTAGCAGAACTTGGCACAATGGGTATGGAATAAGAAAAATGGGAGGGAGAGAGAGATAAAGAGGGAATGGGGTGGGTGAGAACAGAGAAGTGAGAGGGATAAAGATAGAAGGGAGGGGAGACGTGGGCAAGCGGGAAGGTGAATAGAGGGGAGACGTGGGAAAGTAGGAAGCTTACTCTTTGAGCGGGAAGTGAGTGTAGATATATGTTTATGGGCTAATCTGAGCCATCCATCTAAATAGACAAATGAATTATAACCATTGAAATGTCTTAGTAGGACAATTGTGTCTAACATATTTTCAAAAACCTTCCTGTTTTATTATATAGATATATAGTTTTGTTGAATTGTAAAACTTAATTTTTCAGAATCTGTTCTGTTTTCAATATTATTCTATTAAATTGATTTAAGATAAATATTATTCAATTCCCACAACAGATATAAATAATGAAGTTATCCATTTTTCTATAATAGCCAAAGCTTTTAAATAAATTGGTAGCTAGTGACACATGTCTAGCCTGCGTATGAAAGAGTTTTATGAGGATTGATAGTTAACAATTTAACATTATTATTCAAAGGAAAAATTACTAAGTTATCAAACAGGACATCAATGAAGCAGAGAGAGAGAGAGAGAGAGAGAGAGAGAGAGAGAGGGGTCCTCATGATTATTACTGTCTTATATTGATAACAACTATTACAAAAGTTATTAGCTTCATACATCAAGCTCTTCTTGCTCAGTCTTGGAAAAGAAAATAGAGGTAATCTGATTTTGACTTTAAAAAAAAAAAAAAAGGAAGAAAAAAAGAAAAAAAAAAGAAGAAGGAAAACATAAAGAAGGAAAAGCCGGTTTTTATTTATTTATTATTTATTTTTTGAGAAGGTGAAAATTTTGCAAACTTAGATGGTTATCTAAATGCAGGAAGGCCATGTTTGTTTGGGCGGACTGGATTAGCATTCCCATGACTAATAGTCTTAGGGGTACAAATCCATTGGATTATGTATCCTATCTTAACTAATAGTCAAGTTTAAAATAATTAGTCCGTACTTTAATTGTTTAATCAAACATTGGATTAGTAATTTTATTGGACTATTAGTCCAATCCCAAGCTCATGTCCACCCAAACAAACACGACCGAAATGTCGTCAAATTTAGGGTTATTTATGATTTGAAATGACCAAATTATTTTTAGGATTTCAAGCACAATTGAGTGGTATCTTGGGAATTCCATGAAGTTGTAGTTCCCCCAATACACTATCAAGAGATGGAGGTTTTAGTCCAAGAGGAAGTGGCAGCCATGGCTTTGATAAAGCATCTCCAATAGCTGCATCAATGCTCTCTTTCGACTGTAAACCACATTGACAAATAGTCAGGACAAGAAATCAATTATTGTTTCTAATTTATGGAAGACACATCTCTCACCATATTAATAAATTTTATGGAGCAATTAGCAACTTAAACAACTAAATCAAATTGGAAATGAAAATCAGTTAGTAGAAATTCACAATTTAAACAATTATAAAAGGGTCTATCTTAAACTTTTAGAGGCTCTTAGTGAATACCACTTGAAAAGACAATCAGCTTAAAAAGGAAATTATTACAAAAAAAAATTAAAAAATTAAAAAGACAAAATCTAGTTATGTTACTTTTTTTTTGGAAATTATTACAAAAAAAATTTAAAAATTAAAAAGACAAAATCTAGTCATGTTACTTATTTTTTTTTTGTTTTTTATTTTTGAATATATGTTAGGGCAAAAAGCACTTAACCCCCTATGATTATGGGTTGGTACAGATAACTCCACTGACGTTTGAAAATATATAGACATCTCTCCTATGATTTTGGACTTATTTGTAACTATCACATTTTCCATCCAAAAAAACAAATATGCAAGTATTGTTCTGTTTGACAGTTTTTCTCTAAAAATGATTTGATCAAAAGACCAAAATGACCCTACCCTTCACATGATTTGAAATAGATGTTATACTCCACCCAAATTGTAGGGAAGAGTGGAACCATCTTGGAACAATTAGTACTTCCTCTCCTTTTTATTTTAATTTATTTTTTTATTATATTTTTATCTCTTATTTATTTTATTATATATTTTTTGAATCAAATATTTTTTTGTTTAATTTGTCTTTCATTCTATATTGTCTTTTTTATTTTGTTGTTTACTTTTTTTAAGCTTTATTATACAATTTGTCAGGAATATTGAAATGTCTTTTGCAAGCAGTATTGGAGTAGGAAACACTTGATTATATTTTACTAAACTGTATTATACAAAATTTTTTCTATTATATTTATATCTCTTATTTATTTTACTTATTTGTTATTTTTATTTAATCAAATATTTATTTGTTTAATTTGTCTTCCACTCTATAGTGTCTTTTTTTTTTATTGTTTATTATTTTTAACTTTATTATACGATTTGTTAAGAATATTGCAATATCTTTTGTAAACAATATTGGAAGGGAAACACTTGATCATATTTTATTAAACTTTATTATACAATTTGTTTATAGGATCATAAGAAATTGATCTTTTTCTTTAACAAATTAATTTTAATTTTTTTTAAGAAAAACAGAAGACAAAATTCAATCAAATATAACGAATTGGATTTCTCATGACATAATTTCTTGAAACTATTTTTAATGCTAAAATATATGTGACTATTTTTTTGGTTATTTTTAGTGAATTTTTTTTGGTATTAAGTTGTATTAGTTTTATTGTATGATTTGAGTTAATAAAAACACAAAATAATATTTGTATGGTTTAATTATTACCATCTTTATGGTTTATTATTATTATTTTATTTATACAATTTAAGTTAACATTTGAGTAGTTTGAATATTATTATTATTAGTAGGGTAAATCATGCAAATGGTCTGTGTAATTTACATAATGTGTCAATTTGGTCAATGTTATTTTGATTTGTTCAATTTTGTCCCTTAATTTAACGAATTGTGTCATATTGGTCCAATAAATAACGACTATTAAGTTTGGTGGACGGAAAATCATCACGCGCTCAAACGATGTGTCAATTTGGTGTTTGTAGTTTATACGATATGTCAATTTGGTCATTATTATTTTAATTTGCTTGATTTTGACAGGGATCAAATTGACATATCGTGTAAACTATAGAGACTAAATTGATACATTGTTTGAGTTTCTATCCACCAAACCTAACTACTGTTATTTATTGGACCAATACGACACAATTCGTTAAATTAAAAGGTAAAATCGAGCAAATTAAAACACCAGCAACCAAATTGACACATCGTGTAAGCTACATGGACCATTTACATAATTTACCCTTATTATTACTAATTTTGTACAATTTGAGTTAATATTTTTTATTAGTCTTCACTTTTTTTTAGTAAATAAAAATAATATTTTTTTGCATAAAAATAATATTTTTTTCTTCAAAAATAATTATAAATAATTTTTATTTACATTAATTTCAAATCATACAAATCATTTTAATTATTTAAGTTTTTATATAGTTTTGAATTATTAATTTAAATTTTATTAAATTTGTTAATATCATTCTTATTTTAAAGATGTTGTTGATATTTTTTGAATAAAATTAATTTTATAAAAATTGAATTTATATATTAAAAATTATATGTATTTTATTAAAATAAAATTAGATAAAATTTGTTCTATTTTTTAATTAAAAAAGTGAATTAAGTGATGTGATATGATATGTGCTCTATAAAGAGAGAGAAAGAAAGAAGAGAGCAGGAAGGTGCATGTGTGTGATGTATGTGATGGGTGAGTGAGCCTATGTTAGCAAGGGTAAATTAGTTTTTTTGACATAGACATTAACGACATGACGATTACAGATAAATTTAAAACTACATAAAAGATGTTTGCATATTTCCAAATTCCAATCGTCAGGGGCCATTTGTCTCAGCCCAAAACCAAAGGGTATTAAGTGCTTTTGCCCTTAATTATTTTACTTTTCTTCTTATTTTTATGTATATATAGATAAATACTTGTGGGGATATATTTTCTGAATACCAACACGTGGCATGGTGACGCCGACGTGTCAGCCAAGGTGCCACGTGCCTTGGTAGTTAAGCCGAGGTAATCTCGGAGAAGCCGAGGTCATCTCCGAAGATATCGGAATCCGAGATAAGGGGCAAGAGTCCTAAGGCACAAAGGGGACTGAACCAAGATAAGGATAAAACTCTCAAGGAGTTTATCTTTATCACTTAAAAGAGTCCAGAGTAAGCAGTGAACTAGAGTTCATAGAAGTCATACTTCTAGTGGGACTTGGATTGAGTATATTATAAAAGAGAGGCACCCCCGTGGGTCTAAGGTATGCAATTTATACTTTGAGTATTCAGTTTAGTACTTGATTATCTTTGAGAGATATACTGACTTGATCGTCGGAGTGCCCCCGGGTGGAAGAACCACCGCCGGAGCTTTTTCTTTCTGTTTCAGGTTACTTAAGTCATCTATTCTGCTTGTGCTCTCCAGCTGATCACTAAACGGGCATTGTGGTCAGATTTTCACCCACACAATACTTAACAAGAAATATGATTAAATAAACAATTTAATTCACAATCCAACAAGTAACAATCAACTCAAATTGCAGAGATTTTAATTTTCAAGTCAAATTATCAAACACTAAAGTAGAATCAGAATGATACAAAATTTGACAACATATAAAGAGATTATCAAGGCTTAGGGGTTGTTTGGAATGTCCTAAATAAGTGTACTTTTTAGACTAAAAATTAGAGGGAAAAAAGATGGTTGTTTGGGATAATTTTTTTTTGACTTTTTATGAAAAAATGTGTATTAAAATATTATATAAAATAGTAAAATTACGAAATTACTCTCTCTGACACAGTCAGCATTACTGCACTGACTTTCTATCTCTTTTCAATTTTTATTTTATTTTATTTATTTTTTTAATGGGAATGTGCGGCTTCAAGTGTGCCACGTTTTCTTTTTGACTTGGGAAGTTGTGGCTGCACAGTTTTGTGACAGCACTGTTTTTTGTTTTTGTTTTTTTTTTCATGTGATAGATTTCCCGCCAAAATAAAGGTAAATAGTATGAACTTTTTATTATTTTTTTAGTGAATTTTTTACTTTTTAAATTTTATACATGATGTCAAACCAGCCCTTAAATTGGGTTGGGGCAAAGTTTGGTAGAGTTAATCAAATAAGTTAGGCTTCCACTAGTAAAAATAGTTTTGTTTTTGAGTTTGATACTAAGGCCCCGTTTGGGGACTTACTTTTTTAGCCAATTAGCCAAAAAGTTACTAAATTAGTCAAAAAGCCAACAACTCATACAAAAAAGTCAAAGATTCTCTTTTCTCTCTAATTTTTTCACATCTTTTCGTAATTAGCCAAAAAGTCATCCCAAACATACAAGTTTTTTTACCTACCTTTTTAGCCAAAAAGCATGTTCCCAAACGAGGCCTAATAAGCCATGTAGTATTTGGGTTTTGGCAAGTTAAAATCAAAATAATTAGTGGTCATCCACTAATAAAAATAGTTTTTTTTTTTTTGGTTTATTTTATTTTATTTTATTTATTTATTTATTTATTTTATATCAACAAAATAAAGTTTATTGGTAAGAATCAAGGATAACCTTACATCATAAATCAATAAAGGAAAAACACAAAGACCAATAGGCGGTGCTATAGCCCCGTTTGGTGTAGTTGTTAAAACAGCTTACAGATTATAACTTAACAGATTATAGATTATGATTTTAATCAGAAGTTGTTAATCTGTTTGGTGTAACTGTTGGATTATAGATTTAAGTTGCTGAGTAGTGTTTGTTAAATAAGTTGTGAAATAGCTTTTTCAATTAATTTTTTATTTTTTGTTTGTCTACATTTTTCATAGAAAATAATAATAATAATAATTTATAGTCCATTTGAGTCTTTTTCTATTTTTAAAAAAATAAAAAATAAAAAAATTTAAGAGTATAACCATAAATTAACATGTTCACAGCAAAAACTGATAATTAGAAGTAAGGGGTGAGCAGCTTCTCAGAATCAGTTTTTTTGAGTTAAAATAAACTATTAGAATCAGAAGCTGTTTGAAATAAGTTTAACCAAACAATTCAAAATAACTTTTTCAAAACTAAAAATCATAAGTTGACTCCGACAATTGGAAACAAACACCCCCTATAAGAATCAAAACAAAGCCCAATGCTTCCACCTAAATTGGTACAACAGGATATGCCCAATCATTTGCAGCACCATTCCAACACAATAGTTGAAGATAGGTCAACCGTGCAATATTTTCTAGCCCAAACATCAGGGCCCAAAGCCAGCTTGCCCTTTGGGCCGGCTCCGCCACTATGTTTAATTTTTTCTTATTTATAAATAGAGCATCGTTATTTAAACTTAAAAGTTAAATCTAGCTTCTAAACTCAGTAATGTATCAATAAAATAATTTATTGATAATTAAATATTATTTAGTTATCAACAAATCATCTTTTTAATACGTTGCTATATTTAAAAAATGAATTTAAAAAGTAGATTTTATGTCATTCTTCTTGTAAGTAACATGCCAGTATAAATAACAAAATTAATAGTAAGACTTTTTAAATGGACATGGCTCCTCTCCAGTTACTAGAGATGAGAGTTCGCTATTGGTGGGTTGTAATTTGGGTCCATGTCAATAATCTAAATCGTTTAATGTGTAGAACTCGTCGAGTACATTATCCCTGTAAAAAATCACTTTGATTAGATATTGATAACTATTTGATCAGATCACATTTTCAAAATAAATTTCAAAGTAAATTGAGTCTAAGTATTGTCTGATCAAGTGGTTATCACTATTCAATCAGTATAATTTTTTGCAGGGATAATGCACTCAACGGATTCTACACATCAAATGGTTTGGATTATCGACATAGGCCCGAATTAAAGCCCACCAATGTTGAACTTTACTTTTCCGTAATTGGAGAGAAGTCGGGTCCTTTTAAACTAATATAACGGTGACACCTGAGACAAAAATAACTTGGTCCATAGCAATATTGATTTTTTTATTATTCAAATGTCATCATGTAAAAGACTTTACGAAAATGTTTGAGTGCTCCAAATGTGTGGCTCGAATCTGGCTCGAAATCGATTTTTTTTTTTTCATTCTTTTTCTTCCTTCTTCTGTTACAGAGGAGGCAAGAAACGGAGGCGAGAGTCGTCGCAGGCAGCTCGTCGTCGTTGCTGGCAGCAGTTCGTCGTCGCAGGCAGCTCGTCGTCGTCGCTGGCAGCAGCTCATCGTCGTAGGCAGCAGGTCGTCGTCGTAGGTCCGTCCCTCGCCTCCGCCGATCGCGTCCGCCCCCTCCTCCTCCATTTTTGAGGCCCCCTCCAGTCCTTCCTCCCCCTCCTCCCCCTCCTTCTCTTCTTCTTCTTCCTTCTGCTGAAAAAAAAAAAAATACAAAAACGACGCCGTTTAAAATTCGAGCCAACTTCGAGCCTGAGTAATTCGAGCTCTGTAGCGGGTTCGAAGACTTTACTACATGTTTTGTAAGTAAAAACAAGGAGGAGAAAGAAGGCAAAAAAGAGGAAAATAATATGATAGAGAGAAAGTGAAGGGAGCAGTAGTCTCTCACCGGGTGAAAATTGAATGGAGGGTGAGGACCTGTTAGTCTGGGAGGGACACCAATGCCAGGGTTGAGCCTGTACATGGCATCATTGGGTGGAATCCCGGGGACCGTTGGAGTGCCAAATCTCTGCAATTATAATAACCATGTGTCATTGAATTCCTTGTAGATGGAGCCAAGCTCAAGGCAAGTCCTTTTAACTTCTTTTGGTGCAGTTTACTTACAATTGTTTACAGATTATTATTATTATTATTATTATTATTATTATTATTATTATTATTATTTTTTATTTTTTTTTTAATTTTAAAACTTAGTGTAAGTGCGCTTAATGTAAGTATTTTTTTTAGAGTTTATTATACAAATTTAGTTTAAATAAACTAGAAAAGGTTGATTGTTGAGAAGATAAACAAAGAATGCTTTTGTTTTCTATTTTTTAATTATTACTACATTTTTTGCTACCATACTAGATTTTTTTTTATAATTATTATTAGATTTATTGAGAAGATAAACAAAGAATGCTTTTATTTTCTATTTTTTAAGGAAAATGCCCTAGACCCCACCACCCCCACTGGTTTTTGATTGGTTCAATTTTTATTTTTATTTATTTATTTATTTATTTTTTTTCAGTCTTGCTCTCGCAGCAAGACATGTGGAGCCGGGGGTGCTTGGGGTCACCCCCCAATGGGGTCCCTTCCACTGAGGTCCCCAGCACGATTGATTTTTTAATTATTACTCAACTTTTTGCTACCATACTAGATTTTTTTAATTATTATTAGATTTTTTGCTACAATAAAGTGTTAGCATACATAAATTAATCACAGAACTTGGTCTAAAGATCTCCGGTCCCCAAATATTTCTGTCCCTTGTCTCTAATCAGTCACAATTATTGGATATGCCTCTCAAATCTTAGGATTCTCGTATAATTCAATGATTATAAGTGATTTGGGTCAAAGGGACAAGAATATTTAGGAAAGGGAATCCTTGCTCATTGTTGTGTTAGTACTTAGTAGCACTGCTCCGAAACAACTAGTTACCGTAGTTGGCAGTGGTGACGGAAAGCAAGGTGTTCCCGGTGCTAATCAGTCACAATTATTGGATATGCCTCTCAAATCTTAGGATTCTCGTATAATTCAATGATTATAAGTGATTTGGGTCAAAGGGACAAGAATATTTAGGAAAGGGAATCCTTGCTCATTGTTGTGTTAGTACTTAGTAGCACTGCTCCGAAACAAATAGTTACTGTAGTTGGCAGTGGTGGCGGAAAGCAAGGTGTTCCCGGTGTAAGAGAATTTGGAACCTGAATAAAGAGGAGATGCCATTTTAGAGAGAGGTAACAAGTAGGGAGGGAGGGAGAGATTACCTTATGCCTTTGGTAGTGTAAGTGCCAAAATGATGAGTCAAGCAGTGGTCTTGGTGGAGAAGGATGTGTGGTTGGGTGGGCCCATGGAGCTGCCGGTGGTGGTGGTGGTGATGGGGAAAGGAGTAGATGTTTGGGCCAGATTTGGATTAAGGATGGATCCATAGAGGGATGACCCCAAACATGTAAAGGTCTGAGATGTTGCAACGGTCTCATGGGAGGGAAGCCCATGGTAGGCCGCGCAACCACCCAAGGGCTCATAATATTCTTGCTTCCACCGCCACCACCACCACCTCCTCCTCCTCCTCCTCCACCACCATATGTTTGCCATCTCTGGCTCCAGCTTACAGCTTCCGCTTCACGAGCTAGCAAATGTTTCCTATGCGATCGGTATTTCTGCACAGCCCACAATTCTTCTTTAAATTAGTGTCTTTCAGATTAAAGTTTAAATCCATGAAAAGTCAGTAAAGGAAACTTAATTAGTGTATTTCTACTTTCATTAGGCTTGAAATTCACACTTTAGTTTTTTAAACAACAGATTAAGGCAGTGAACAAGGTCTTATTACACTAACCAACATTCAAGTTCGGTAAAGTGCAATCTCAGACAAGATTAGGGATGGCAATTTGAACCCGGCCCGACGGGGACCCGAACCCCCGATCCCGATTTGAGCAATTTTTTTCCGAAAAATATCCCCAACGGGACGGGGATGGTATTTAAAATTCAATCCCCGATCAGTTTCGGGCCGGGGACGGGGATATGTGTCCTAGCCCCGTACCCGGCTCGTCCCCGTCCCCGCTGGTCCCCGAAATGAATTTACCATTTTACCCCTCTATATATATATATAAAAACCAAACCCTCTCACACTCACCACCACGTCTCTCATCTCCCTCCCTCTCATTCTCTGTGTCCCTCTCCCTCTCACTCACCACAGCGTCTCTCATCTCCCTCCCTCTCACTCTTCGTGTCCCTCTCCCTCTCCCTCTTACTTTCCCTCTCCCTCACTCACTCACTTTGATTTCTTTCTCATTCTCTCATTTCTCGTTATGATCATCATCATCGTCCAGATCCACGGTGATTTCTCTCTCATTCTCTCACTCTTCGTTATCATCATCATCATTTAGATCCACCACCGTGAAGCCACCGACGTGAAGCCACCGATCTGAACCGTGAAGCCACCGATCTAATAGATCGTGGTCCATGAACTGTCAAGCCAAGCCACTGATCTGTGCATCTCTTTTCCTCTCTCTCTCTCTCTCTCTATATATATATGTGTGTGTGTGTGTGTGTGTGGTCTTCCTTGCCATTGTTCCCCGTATTTGGTTCTGGAAATAATAATCTATATATAGATCTGTGTGTGTTCTAGATCTGTTGTCCATATATATACAGATTAATTTTTTTTAGATCTATTGTTGTATGGGTGTGTGTGTTCTAGATCTGTTGTAGATTGTTGTCCATATACATTTTTTTTTTGTTGAACAGATCTGTGTGTGTGTGTGTGTGTGTGTGTGTATTGAACAGATCAATGTGTGTGTTGTGAATAGGTCTGTCGGGGATTTTTCGGGGTTGGGAAAACCCGATCCCCGTTAGGGGACGGGGGCGGGGGAGGAGATGCCTTCCCCGTCGGGGATCGGGGCCGAGGACGGGGATTTTTTAACCTTCGGGGATCGGGGATGGGGAGTGTCATCCCTGGCCCCGCCCCGGCCCGTTGCCATTCCTAGACAAGATATGAAATTCCAATAAATTTATTTGCATAACAAAAGTGAATAATATAATATTCCTAACAATCATCTAGAGCCAAACACACTCCTATGTCAAACTCCATTTAGGATATCTAAACCCAACTCCAAACTTGATAGTAGGTGTCACCAAACACCCCATTTCAACACAAAAAAAAAAAAGTGCAGATTTTTTTGTTTTTGTTTACATCGTTGTCTTCATGCTTTCCTATCTAACTTCTCTCTCATTTTCCTTGACTTTCTTGGTGGCCAAACACCACATCCTTGCTCCACCCTTACACCACCACCTTAACCCACCATCTCCACCACCGCCGGCCACTTTATATCGCCGGAAAAAGGGTCCGGTCGGCCACTCCTTGAATCCATCCGAAAATAGCACAATAGAAGTACCAACTCTAGATTTTTCTTAATCTTTTGAAGAATCAAAGCATGGGGTTTATTTTCTTGATGGATTAGAGGCTTGTAATTGGTAAGAATCTTTCTCTAAAAGTTTAGTTTAAGATTTTACATATTTTGAGTTAGAGATGATGATTTTTTTTTGTATTTTGGATCTATTATGATTTGGGATTTGATTGTTGAATTTTATACTCTCAATTAGTTTCTATGAATGTTTTACATGTTGAAAAATGATCAATTTGATGGTTGTTTTGGAGATTATGATTTTGGGTTAATCTAGGGTTTGAATGTGATGTAAAAATTGAGGATTTTGGTGTTAGGAAATTTATATGTTGAAATTGATTTGATAAATGGTGGATTGGGTATCTCTATATTCTACGGAGGAATTTTATAAATGATTGAAGAGATTTTACTTAAGTTGTTGAGTTTATAAAAAATGTTGATTTTTGACTTTTGCAGTTAATTGATGGTGGTATTGTGCATATAAATTGATTGAATATTTAAAAAGTTAGTAACTCAAAGATGTATAAAGGATGGATGTTGTGGAGATTGGATAAGTTATTTGTTTGGGTGACTTGAAGTTGGAGGAGTTCTTTAGCTTGTCATTCCTTAGCATAATTTATTTAGGATCATTTTTGTAGATGTTGTAATTTTCATTGAAAGCTTTTTCCTAATTTTAGGTCCTATTTATTAATTGTTAGGATTGGAGGAAGGCGTCTCTACACCTCTTGGGAATTCATTTGTAGAGTCTCAATCTACACTTTTGCTATTTTGGAGGTGAGTATACTTACCATGGAAATTACCTTACCTCTATCTTTATTACAAAGTTTGAAGATAATTTTGAATTAAAGTGAATGATTGATACATTTCATCATGATATATGTATAAAAAGAAAAATCTATAAATCTATAAATCTATTGAGGCCAATGGTTGAGTTTAAATAAATATATGATTTCATTTGTATAATGAAACACTAATTTTTATGAGAACTTATTTAACTTGAGTCTTTCAAATTTTATGATGATTGAATGACAATGAAACGTTGTACAAGGGTATTTTTTTTTTCATGTACTTTCAGAATATTATGCATGATGCCTAAGTCTTGCTAGACATCCTAAAGCTCAATGGATTCATGTGTGAGAGAGCAACTCGTGCTCTGATACCACTTGTCACACCCCAAACCCGGCCCTAAAAGTTTCGGGCATGACTTATTCAGAAACAGACACTTAACCTGATATACGTAATGTACGGGGCCTGAACGGAAGCATTAATAATATAAAAGAACATAAAGCATCATCCATTGAGCTACTAATACCATGCCAGGACTGCAAACATAGTGTTATATAGGTAATACACAGGAGACATACACTCGAGCTTCTGTTACAGTCACTTACAATCATACAAAAGTATTAAAGAAGAAGGGGTTAAATACATTCAACCATAGACAGACAACTAAAGCATAAACCGAAAACTTAACAAACTTTACAAAATGCACGGGCTTCATCCTAAGTGCCTGGGCACATTGAGGTTGACAAAAGGGAGACAAGCCTTAAAGATTAGGACTGGCTTCCCGGTTGTTTACCTACAGAAACAGACAAAAGACAGCGTGAGTAAAACTCAGTGAATAGTAGCACATACATAAAGTAATAGTTAACTGAAATAACAAAACATATAACCGTAGAGGCACGTGATTAATTACATTCTGTAATTATTTCCAGAATAGCCATGGGTCCAGTTTTCTTAACAGAGTGGCTTTCAGCCCAGTAATGTACAGAACGGCCATAGGCCTAACAGATACAGAACGGCCATGGGCCTAGAAATATTAGAACGGCCATCGGCCAAGAAATATCAGAACGGCCATAGGCCTAACAGATACAGAACGGCCATAGGCCCAGAAATATCAGAGCGGCCATCGGCCCAGAAATATCAGAACGGCTTTAAGCCCAGTTCATGTATGTATGGACTCAAGAGGTGGCTCGCACGGATTCTAGAGGTGGCTCCCACCAAAGTGTAGCACTTAGTTCCGTACAACACTTTGTTCCATACCAGAAATCAATTAGTTTTAAACTCTAAACAATTCATATTATATCACGTCATAAACGGAACGAATTAACAAGACAGGATGCATAAACAGAACGAATAAACTGAACAGAAAAATCCCAAATTCATATGAACACCGTCACAGAATAGTGTACATAAATCATCTCATAGTTTATTACAATGGGCATAACCATCTTACGTATGTCAGAACATTAACAACACTCCTTGCTAGACGTCACAAATATCATTATAGTACGATCAATAAGAACGGAATAATTTACCTCATAACAATCTTGATTCATCATTGACAAAACAGAATGATTCGGGATACATGAGCATCATTATTCCTTTTGTTTATTATAAATCAATACAGGTAATTTACAGATAACAGAATGTTAATAATGCCTTTTAACAGTAAGCAAAACGCACTACTAGAGTATCCAATAGGCAAATACCTGTGTCGTAACATATGTATTACCTAATAGACTATAGGAATCCCTGATAGGGTACTCGAAATATCATGTCCCTGACAAGCGGGGTTTACTTCCACGAACTCTTTTTGTTAACTAACTCCATTATATCAATAGTTTGTACACAATTATTATGCAAAATCACAAGTAATTTATAGGTTATAGCACATTACCGATAACTCTTAACCGTAATCGGAACGCAGAATCAAGCCAACTCCTTCAATATTCACATAAGGTCGCACTAATTCTCAATCCACATACATGTTAACAAAATTGCCACGGAGAACAGAATGTTAATAACAATGATTAGTAACGATAAATAATATACATTTGGAGTACTATTACTCACAGTGCTGCGACGGAGTGCTTGTCCTTCCCGGTTATGACTTTTACACATACATAGCTCACACATTAGTTCCTTTCCTTGTTGTATCGCTTTTGGACTCGTTCCACTTCAAATGAATTTACATACATCAAAAAGGTATCAAATATAAATTCTAAAAATATCCAAGGGTTGAGCACGTAAAACGAAACAAATCATTTTTTCCAGCATGGGCCGCACGTGCGGCTGTGAGCCCTGCACGTGCGGCGGTTGGTCCCGCATGTGCGGCCAAGAGCCCCGCACGTGCGGCGATTTCAGTGTGAGAGCAGTCCGAAATTCATACAAAATCCCATTTTTGGTATACTCTTTCAAAGCTCAAAATAGGTTCTTTAATTGATGAAACATGGTTTAAAAATCATGTACAAAGGTAGTTCAAACACACAACAATCTCAATATCTATTTATTCCTCAATCCCTTGCAATTCATAGATATAAATTAAACACTTTAAGCCCTTACCATATAGTTCCCAAACATATATAAAATCAACCAAATCCCTAAAGGAGTTCAAACATGCAAAGATAAGGGTTAGCATGAAATTCTTCTCCCCATAATAGTGGCTGCATAATAATGGCTTTTTATTTGAAAAATAGCACAGGTTTCTCCATAATAATGGCTGCTTTGTCCAACAATCAGTTTTCATAATAGTGGCTTTATATATGCTCTGCCAACATGCCTCAGGCATCATATGGGTTCTTAATGGGCCTGTATACTAGACTTGCCCTACACAACATTGGGCCTTGGACTGATGTGATGGGCCTTACTACCCAAGCACACAGCCTTCTAAATCTGCTAACTCTGCCCCCAACAAACTCCAGCAATTTATAGCCCAAAATTGTAACAATCTCCTAGTAACACTAGAAATTACCACCCAAGGTAGCCAGGAATTGCCCTATGCACTCTATTAGATTAGTAACATAAAAAGCAACCTTACACTAGTAGTAGATAGCAGTATACAACAGCATACCAAACCAAAACCATGTTTTCTATATAGCTGTTGTATGCTGCCATAGGACAGTAACTATATGCCTTACACAGATCAGCAAAACAGAACAGAATTCCAACACAGATGATCACAAAAACATAGACAGATACTCTCCTAGCAACACTAAGTAATTAACACTCAAGGTAGCCACAAAACTTCCCTTTGCTGCCCAAAACAGAACAGGACTTGGGCTGGGGCTATAGACAGCAGCCCCAACCCAAGGCTGTTGCAAAAAGGAATCATAGCAATAAAGCTGCTACAGAGGTGAAGAACACAACAATGAGCATGGCTGGAGCCACAGTTAGCATAACAGTAGGGCAACAAAAACAAATTAATTTATACCATCCACAAGGTGCATCTCACAAGCACACTTTTTAACACATGCAACAGTAAGTATATATAGTATGCATCTTGAATTTTAACTATCAAACCAATAACCATTACAGCCATCCAAAAGAAGAAAGAAAACTATTCTTAAATAACTAAAAGTTTCTAAGATAACATAATTGGAATGTATCTCTATTGCATGAAATTTCAAAATGGGTACCAAGTGTTACACAAACGATGGTTGCACAAACAGGAAAATGGGCCATTTGATTCAACAGTACCTAGTCAGCTACCCCTTATGCACTCCAACCTGCGAGCTAAATTATTTGTAAAACTAGCAAATAACCACAATATTATAAAGTCCACACCTAGTCTATAGCACAACCACAGAACTACAACAGCTGAGGATCAAAAGCAACATAGTGTAGCAACAACATCCATCCACACATCAGTAAATATATATATCACATGACGAAACACATAACATTAATGGCCATGACCTCAAATTCCACATCTTTTATCTCTTTAGCCATTGGCCTCTAAACCAAAGTTCCAGAATTATCCAGTAAATGGCTCTTCATATTCTAACACAAAAGCTCATAACATTGGGCAATCAAATAAAAGTGGTAGTTATTATTTGTAAAAGCACCATCAGATGTGAATTGACGTGAGTAAATACCACTAACACCTTGCAAGCAACTTGAAAGAAAGTATTATCAATTGTAAAAGTACCACCAAATAAAGCAACTTCAGTTGAGCATGCTTTCTATATATTTTTTTTAACCCTTTGAAAGGATAGCAATTAATTAGTATTTTTTTAACCCTTTGAAAGGGTAGCAATTAATTAGCACTGTTAAGCTCAATCCTCTACTCCCTGTAGTTGTAAACCTGATTCCTCCAGAAATGATCAACCGATTTGGAAGCTTAATCCTGATGGGGAATTCACTATCAAATCTGCCTGGGATCATTGGAGGCATAAATTTGACAAAGTTACTTGGCATAAGCTTATTTGGGGACCTCACATGATCCCTAGAGTCAGTTTCATAGTTTGGATTGCTCTTCATTCTAGACTGAATATTAGGGATAGATTGCAACAGTTTGGCTTGACTCCTAACCCTACCTGTCCTTTCTGTCAAGGTCCTGTTGAGAGTCATTCTCACCTTTTTTTTTGACTGCTTGTTCTCCACTAGGATCTGGAATGTTCTTAAGCTAAGTCCAATGTTAATTGGCCTAACCTTCAATGGCCTAATTTGTTTGCTTACGCCACAACAGAGACTAAATGTAAATCTTGGAGATCAATAGTTGTTAGACTGTCCTTGTTATACTCTATCTATCACATATGGCTTGAAAGGAATAATAGAATTTTTAACAAAGAATTCAAACCTGAAGAGGTGGTTACCAAAGCAATTGTTCAGATGATGAGGGGAAGAATTTTGTCCATAAACAATCTGCCTAGATCAACAGGGGATGACTGGTTTCTTGCTCAGTGGAATTTTCTTGAGACTATCTTGAAGCCCCATGTGACCAGAAATGAGAGATTGGTGAGAGACGTGAGTTCACTAAATGAGAGTTGAGTGAAGGTTAGCATAAATGAGTGGTACACTAATTTGTTTTCTTGTTGTGTAGTAGGTTGAAGAGCTTACTTGTAGGTTGTGAGGGTTGAGTGATTGTGAGACATATAGTCTAAAATGTTACATTTTCAGATCTGTGAGTGTGAATTCTGTGGGTTGAGTGTGTTTAGGCCTGATATAAGTGATGTACTAATGTTACTTATATGGTAAAGTTTTATATGCAGGTTAAGGAAGCTGTTACAGAGGGATGTGAGATCCTAAATTGTGGGTTGAGTGGTGTGAGCTCAATTATTGTTTGCTTAAGCCTAATGCTGCTATGAAATTTGTACTACTTCTTTTTGGGTAATACTTATTCCATTCTTGAATAGGCCTCTAGGTTTTTTCAGCTTGGTGACTTTTATCATATTGCAGTTGTGCCTTGCTGGCATAATGGTGGCAATTTGGCTGTTTATTCTGGTGGTTTTGTGGATTGGTTATGGCTGCATTGTGCACCTATCCAAAGATAAGGGGTATTGGTGGTGTCAGCTTCATGCACCCTACTACCCTTTCAGTTTTCATTTTATTCATAGTTGTTATATGTATAAACCTTTTGAGACTGGTCTGATTTATGTCCTTACAGGTTTTGTGGCCTACTCCTACGGGCAGTGTAGGAGATATATCGTGTTTTGGCGTATGGCTAGCAGTTTGGGCGTACTGTATGTGTTTCAATCATGCTGAAATCATGGTCCCAGTGCTGCTGAGTTGATGTTTCATGTCTTGGGACCAATGTTGCCTACTGTGTACATGGTATTGACAAGTGGTTGTTCTTGTGTTCAGGTTCTCTATAACACAAATACCATCCTCATCATCATCAAACTAAACATGAATTTTCAAAACAATTATATTTCCAGATATGTTATTTCTTGTCGTTACTTTTACCACAGTACTAAATCTAGGGATGCGGAAGTTAAACCAAATGAGCCTATGCCAAGTTACTCTAGACCTATGAACTCTAAATAGGTCCCAAGCAGAATGTAAAGAGAAGAGACCATTAGATGAGAAATAATAAAGAAATCAAACAATGCTACAACTTCAAAGATAAGAGTTTGACAATAATTACTGCCAAACGTTGGATCATCGGCTCCTTTTCAGCATTGTTCACCTTTTTCCACCTACGAACACTCAGGTCTGGTAATTGTATTCGAACCTCTATACCCATCTTGGAGGCCAACTTAGAGGCTTGCTCTCCTATTGGCGCACAAAACTGTTTAGGTATAGGAACCAACATCTTTCCACCCTTATCAACAATGTGTTGGGCCCGTATGCCGCGTATCGGGCCACGACCGCGTGTTTGTGATGTTGCAAGGACATAATATTAATTGAGTTAGTAAGTAAACAAATGGAAGTTAGACCTTAAAAGCAACTTTGCAAACTTACCAATGCTGCTAGATGCAGTCACCTCATGCTCAGGTTGCACATTACGAGGTAGTAAGGGTTGGTTACCAATGTCCTGACATAAAGGATCCGTCCCTTCCTTTGGAGTGGCATTTAATGGCCTTGAATGAGACTGTAAACGGAGTCCAGGTGGCATATCTTGATCCTGAAACAACATAATCAAATAGTAAAAAAGATATTTAACACAGTTAAAATATATTTTAAAAACGATAATGATGTTTAAGATATGTGAAGAAGATATGTAAATAGTAAAAGACATGTTCACACACAAATATAAAATAATGTATATAATACCTCGTGTAGACACCCCAATTTTGACCCTTCGTAAAACTTAGGCGCTATATTCCGAACACCCGATGATAAAAGTTACACTGTGCAATCTTTTGAATTCTGAGCGAAGAAATTTGGATTCAAGCTCTAATTTATTTTGTGTATTACAGTCACAACAAAATTTTGTTTTTGTTGTTTTGTTTTGTTTTGTTTAAATAAAAAAAGGGAAAAGAAAAAAAACAAAAAAAAGATACATAAAGAAAAAAATAAAATAAAATAAAATATAAATTTCGTAAATTGGTTTTGTGTCCATTTTATTCGCCAGTGTGTTTTGCCTAATTTCAGTTCATTGAGTTTTCTTTTACGTTTTCAGTAATAGGCTCAAATTGTCCGATTTGAAATACAACCATTTCTAACATCTAAATATTCAAACCATTCTGATTTGCCATTCGGATTGACAAACAAACTCATTTTATTAATTTCGGGGATTAACCCTGATCATATTTGTACAAAATATATACAAAAGAAAAAAAAAACAACAACAACAACAAAAGAAAAGATCAAAAAAAAAAAAAAAAACAAAAAAAAAAATCAAAAAAAAAAAAAAAACAACAACAACATCAGCAAAAACAAAAACAAAAAAATAAAAGAAAGTAGCATTTTCTTAATTTTTCGGCAGTAACTCGGCGGCGAAGATTACAACCGACTTCATTTGCACACAGCTTCGCTGCTTGACTTTATCATCAGTTGCCTCACTTCATCTTTACTCTTTCGAAGCTCTTGAAGACTCTGCCTCGGCCTTGGCAGAGCTTCCGAAGGAGATTATTCCTCGCCGGCCATCAAATTGGTTGTGTGAAGAAACTCCGAATCGGTTATCTCTATCATGGACTCATTCAGGTCTGGAAAAAGTGTGAGAGAACCGTGTGAAGAGGCCATGACAAGGGAGAGTAATGCAAAAGAAAGAGGTTGCAGAATGGTGGCAGATAAAGTTTGCAGGCTTTTGCTATGCCCTCTCTCCCAGGTCTCAACTTAAGAAGAGAATGAAACCAAAGAAGAAGACAAAGAGGGAGGAAGACTGAGACGATTATTGACAATCGGGGTAGGATTGGATAGCCTGTCGGTCAGGCGCCGCGATTATTGAAATCGCGCGACAGACATGACGCTCGAAGAAGATGAAGGAAGAGAAAGTGAGACAAAAATAGGAGAGGCGGGAGAGTTACATATATACGTGTATATGTATTGTATATTCATGTATTATATACATTTATTCGACTATTTTTGTCACAAGAGTGACTTGGTGAATTGGTCTGATTTAGCGTTTGAGGGTTGAAAGGCTAAGCCTGAGGCCAAAGGTTCGAACCTCCATAGCAACAAGTGTTTCTTTTTGTTTTGTTTTGGTTTTATGTATATATGTCTTGTATAAGTATATATATATATTTGTTTGAATATTTTGTCACAAGAGTGGCTTGGTTCAGTGGTTCGGCTTAGTGGTTTAGGACCTGATATCAGAGGGTCGAACCCCCGTGTCCTTGCATTTTGTGTTTTTCGTTTCTTTTTACGTGTTTTGCGTACGCACGGTGACGTCATCAAACGGAATATGCCTTCTCAGTAACACCATCTTTTCGCTGACGGCCACAAATAGAATATTCTCCGAATCTGTATGTGTACAGTATGCACGTATCTGTGTGTATTTTGCCTGTATATGTATATATGTATACCATATGTATATATCTGCATGTATTTTGCCTGTATATGAATGTGTATACCGTATGTAAATATCTATGTGTATTTATATATCTATGTGTGTGTGTATCTCCGTATATGGTTTAGCTTGCATGTGTGTGCCTCTATACATATTTATATTATGTATATGGTATATGCATATGGTATTTGGTTCAAATTCTATGCATCTATCGCACAATAATCTTACTTCGAGCATCTACCGCACAATTCAAATTCAATCGCGCTATCTTGCGCAATGCATTGTCTTGTGCAATTTCATATTCAATCATGCTATCTTGCGCAATGCACTATCTTGTGCAATTTCAAATTCAATCACGCTATCTTGCGCATCGCACTGTCTTATGCATTAATTCAATCGCGCTATCTTGCGCATCACATTGTCTTGTGCATCAATTTAATCACATTATCTTGCGCATCGCACTGTCTTGTGCGTCATTTCTCTCGCGCTATCTTGCGCAACACACTGTCTTGTGCAATTTCAAATTCAATCGCTCTATCTTGCACATCGCACTGTCTTGTGCATTAATTCAATCGCGCTATCTTGTGTGATGCACTGTCTTGTGCACCTTACTCGCACTATCTTGACTCCCTGCTGTTCTCCTCGGTTAAAACCTTCCCCCTCTCTGTATGAGATACGGTTAGGTATGCATGTTGGTTACACCACCTTTGCTCTTTTCAAATGAAATGCGTTAGGATTGCAAGTCTACTCGGTTAAAACCTTCCCCCTCTCCGTATGAAATACGGCTAGGAACATTTGTTGGTTACACCACTATTCCTCCTCTCGTGTGAGACGCGTTAGGATTGCAAATCGATTAAAAACAGCAGGTGAGCCTGCCTGTTTACACCGCCTCTCCTCCTCGCATGTCAGACGCGTTAGGATTGCAAATCGGTTAAAAACAATAGGTGAGCCTGTCTGTTTACACCACCCCTCCTCCTCTCGCGTGTGACGCGTTAGGATTGTAAATCGGTTAAAAACAGCAGGCGAGCTTGTCTGTTTACACCATCCCTCCTCCTATCGCGTAAGACGCGTTTGGATCTCGAGTTCACATACTCCTCTCGCGTAAGACATGTTTGGATCTCAAGTTCACATACTCCTCTTGCGAAAGACGCGTTTGGATCTCAAGTTCATATACTCCTCTTGCATAAGACGCATTTGGATCTCAAGTTCACATACTCCTCTCGTGTAAGACGTGTTTGGATCTCAAGTTCACATACTCCTCTCGCGTAAGACGCGTTTGGATCTCAAGTTCACTATTCCTCCTCTTGCGTATGACAGACGTATTTGGATCTCAAGTTCACTTTCCTCCTCTCGCAGACAAGGCGTTTGGATCTCACATTCACTGCATTCAACATTTATGCTTTCCTTGTCTGTTTACACCATCCCTCCTCCTATCGCGTAAGACGCGTTTGGATCTCGAGTTCACATACTCCTCTCGCGTAAGACATGTTTGGATCTCAAGTTCACATACTCCTCTTGCGAAAGACGCGTTTGGATCTCAAGTTCATATACTTTGCGTATGACAGACGCATTTGGATCTCAAGTTCACTTTCCTCCTCTCGCAGACAAGGCGTTTGGATCTCACATTCACTGCATCCAACATTTATGCTTTCATTCAGTGTCACATCATTGTCTTGATTGCATTTCATTGCATGGTCATAAGTTATGTTTCACATATCATTCTGCATCTTGCCCTTGAACTACGCAGGTTTGATTCCTTGCAAACGGGATACGTAGGCAACCCTCGGGTTCAACCAATTATTTGCATCTGTTTGTTTTGCCAAAGTCTTACGATCTTGTCAAATGGGTCGTCTTTGGGCTTTGACATTACTCACGTCATGAAATGACTTTGAGTTCTGTCAAAGAGGGGCAATTGTAGACACCCTAATTTTGACCGCTCGTAAGACTTAGGCGCTTTATTCCGAACACCCGATGATGAAAGTTACATTATGCAATCTTTTGAATTCTTAGCGAAGAAATTTGGATTCAAGCTCTAATCTCAAACCTTGCACCCCATTTTGGCCAAACTATTTTAAACCAAAACCCTCTTTCAAAGTATTTGTCCAAATGCTTCTACGATGTTCCGAGACTTGCATTTCATTTAAAATTGCACTTGTGTAGACACCCCATTTTTGACCATCCTCAAGACTTGGACGTTACCGTTTGAACACTCGGTGATCATCCTTGTTTGTGTTCGTCTTGAGTTCCCGGAGGCCTTGGCTGCGCGCCTTGCCTTAGAATCTCTTAACTTCTCTGTTTTGTGCTCGGTTGTGGACCAAGAGCTTGTGGATGTGTTCCTGTTCCTGAGGGAATGGGATGACCTGTCGACCAAGCCTCCTGCCCACTGGCCACCTTGCTTTTCAATCGGCCAAATGTGATGGCCGGCCGGCCAGTTTGATTACCGGTCGGCCAGTTTGATGGCCGGTCAGCCAAGTGTGGTTTTCAACAGATATCTCTGTAGACAGCTGGCACAGCTGTCATTCTGGGCCATACCCCAGCCCATACCTGGACATGGGTGTTCTGAGGAGCTGGAGATTGATATATATCTATATCAATCAAGCTCTCTTAAAAAAAAAAAAAAAAAAGAGAACTAATAAAATCACCTGGAAAAGACTTTGTGGAAGAGCAGAGCTTTGTGGTGTGGGTGACATTCCTTAAAGCCATGAACTTGTTCTAGTATGTGGAAAAAGATTTTCTTTAGTTGAAAGTTCTCCTCTTTGCACTTTTGCACACAAACACCTAGTTCTCTACTCCCTTTATTGAGCTGAGGTCCTTAGAGGTGATTTTTGGGGTGATTTGAAGCCGTTTTTTTGGTCCAAAAGTTGCTGATTTGCTGATGTGCTTCAAGGGTGAGCTTTTTACCTCTTTTAAGCCTTGTTTTCATAGCTTGTTTTGCCATATTTGCATGTTGTTTTAGACTTACCTCTCAACTAAAAAAAGTCTTGTTTTTAAGTCCCTAACATGTTTGTTTGAGGTAATTTTGGTGTTGGGGGTGATCTACCCCCTTTTGAGCTTTGTTTTGCCTTGTTTTGGGTCACTTTTGTTGACCTCCGAGCTGGTCTTTTCTTGGCCTTTTAACCACTGAATTCTAGAGGAATTTCAGTGGTGGGGATGGGGTTTTGAGGTCCCAAATGGGTGGGGGTTGTACCCCCTTCCTTACTTTTGTCGGTTTGTGTTAATGGATCACCAAATGAGCATGTGTTTCCATCTTCTTGAGCCCTTGTTTGAGCATGTTTTTGTGACTTTTCAGACCTGCCTTGACTCTGTTTTTGCTTGGTTTGGTCAACCCTTGCATGCTTCTAATACTTGTAGTGTAATCCTACTTGAGGCTCACCAAAGTGACATGTTTCTCAAGCATGATTTGGCTCCTCTTCAGCATGTTTTTGGTAGTATTTTGGCATGTCATAACCTTGTTTTGCATTGGTTCAGAAACCTCTTGCATGCTCTATGTACTTGTAGTGCAATCCTCTCTCTAGCCTTAATGTGTATCATATGTTTAGACCATCATTCTAGCATATTTTGGCTTAGCTCTGAGAAGATTTTGTCCATGTTTTGCCATGCTTTAGCTCTGTTTTGGGTTGGTTAGAGCATCCCTCATTTGCTTCTTGCACTTGTAGTGTAAATCATGCTTATTGGCCTACTTTGCTTGACATTTTACCCTTTCATTCTAGCATGTATTGCTTGTGTTTAAGCATGGTTTTGGCATTGTTATGGTATGCTTAGGGACTGTTTTGAGGCATCCTTGGTCACATGACATTGTTGCATGCTTGTTGAATAGTTCACGGTTTGCA